GGGGGGTGGCCACGGCCCCCCCCGGCCACCCCCTGCCTCCGCGCCTGACACTGAGAGCTTTATCTTTCAGGAATTGACTATAATGCTGCAGGGTATCTAATTCCAGTATCTGCCTGAGATCAACATGCACAAAATCCTGTGTGGATATTTTCCCAAACCACTTGATAATCCAAGATGAATACCAACTAATACAGCAAATTGTTCTTCAAGGTGGATAAAATTACGGAGAAGGGTGTCACTCTTTGATATCCTACCAATGTGAGGGTTTGGGTAGGGAACAAAGAGGACGCTGTCGCGGAATCAGGTGCAAGGGACTTTAATTAATAAAGAGAAAAAATTGTCCGAAGATCAGAAGGTCTACTGGCGAACGTATCGCTCAGAAAAAACAAAAGGAGCAGGCTGGATCGTAGTCGTGGGACAGGCTGGGGTCGGGTGATGTACGGAGTCGGTCTTGGGGGCTGGGCTGGTCTCGTAGTCGGGGTACAGGCGAAGGTCAGGCGATTCACGTCGGGCATCAAAGGGGCTGGACAGAAACTCGGAGTCAAAACGGCAGAACAAACGGTCAGAAAACACGGAGAGGCAAAAACAGGAAAACGCTCGAAACTCAGAAATAATTCTTGAAGATCTCGCATCAGGGTGCAAGATCCGATGGCTAAAATAGTCTCCCTAATCTTGGAAATAATCTGCAACAGCTTGCGGTAGGTGGAAGCACAGAGAACCGGAGAAACCGGACAACCCGGTATAGCGGCGTAGGACTGACAGCTCGTAAAAACGGGGAAGGCAGGATCAAGGAATCCCCGGCGGCATGATCCTCTTGACGTCAGTCAGGGGATCCCCGGGGTTGATCCGGGGTACCCCCCCCCCCCGACGACCGCCACCCGGCGGACGACCAAGCCCCCCTCCGGGATGGTCCCGCCGGAAATCAGCAATGAGGGAGGGGTCCAGTATATGCCGAGCCGGCACCCAAGACCGCTCTTCAGGCACGTAACCCTCCCAATCCACCAGGTACTGCAGGCCACGGCCTCGGCGACGAGCAGCCAGCAGGCGACGCACTGTAAAAGTCTCCCCCCCACCTATCAGCCTCGGCGGTGGAGGAGGAAGAGCAGGAGAGGCCAGGGGACTGACAGCGTGTGGTTTCGGCAGGGAGATGTGGAACGTGGGGTGTATCCTACGCATAGCAGCTGGGAGCCGAAGGCGTACGGCAGAGGGATTAACGATCTTCGCAATAGGAAAAGGTCCCACAAAACGAGGAGCCAACTTCCGTGAAACCACATGTAAGGGAAGGTCCCTGGCATTCAACCAGACCCGTTGCCCAACCCGCAAGGGGGGTGTCCGGGACCGGCGTCGGTTAGCGTACCTCTCCATCCGGGCTCTCGAGCGCAGCAAGGAAGTCCTGGCGATCCTCCAGGTGCGATGGCAATGGCGTAAAAACTGGTGCACGGAAGGATGGGAACAGAGGGGGTTGGTACCCCAGGCAGGAGTGGAAAGGAGAAAGACCCGTAGATGAAACCGGCAACGAGTTATGGGCGTATTCTGCCCAGGTCAGGTAGGAACTCCATGTAGCAGGCGAGTGGGAGGCCAGACAACGTAGCATCCGCTCCAGGTCCTGGTTGAGCCGTTCCGTCTGACCATTAGACTGGGGGTGGAAACCAGAGTACAGACTCGCTGTGGCCCCAAGCAGCCTGCAAAACTCCCTCCAAAAACGAGAAACAAATTGTGGGCCTCTGTCGGACACAATATCCACAGGTAAGCCATGGAGCCTAAACACGTGCTCGATCAACAGTTGCGCTGTCTCCTTTGCAGACGGCAATCTAGGAATGGGTATAAAATGGGCTGCCTTCGAGAATCGGTCCACAACTGTAAGGACCCCGGTATATCCCCGGGAGGGGGGAAGACCGGTCACAAAATCCACCGCCACATGAGACCAAGGACGTCTAGGGATGGGAAGAGGCAGCAAGAACCCAGTTGGAGCTCATGAGGGGTTCTTATTTCAGGCACAGGTTTCACACGCAGCCACAAAGCTACAAATATCCCAGAGCATGGAAGGCCACCAAAACCTCTGCCCAAGTAGAGCCCGAGTGCGGTGAACCCCTGGATGGCAGGCCAGGAGAGAGGAATGTCCCCACTGAAGGACCCGGGAGTGCAAGAACTTTGGTATGAATAAACACTTAGAAGGGCACCCCTCTGGTGATCTGATGAGAGGTTGGACCGCCCGGACTGCCTCCTCAATGCCCCACGTGACAGCTCCAACAAAACATGAGGTTGGTAGAATTAATGATTTATGTGCTAAATGCTCACACAGTACTGTCTATTACGTGACGATGGCATAAAGCAAGCGGATCCCTGATTGTGGATACTCAGCAGGTTTATTATGAACACAAGCAACAGAGTCAAATCAGGAGACAGGAATCGTAGTCGCGGGACAAGCCAGGGGTCAGTTGCCCGTCGAGTCAATCCTACAGACATGAATGGGACAGGAAGACGATGGGGGAGGACAGGATTGACATGGACTGGATTGGAGGGACGGACAGGCAAGGCAGGCAGGGCAGGGCAAGGCAGGCAGGTGAGAAGGCAAGACGGGCAGGGCAGACGGAGCAGGACAGGAAACAGG